TTTTCATATCTTTTTTCTTTTTCTTTTACTTTATCTCACTTTTTCTTTTCCTTTTCTTTATGATTTGTATTTTCAATTTTCTTTTTCATTTCTAATTTTTAACTTTGTAATTTTAAAATTCCAATAAAATACTATTAAAAAATATTTCTGTTCGGAGCAGGTAAAGTCTAACCTGAGATAATAGCAAGCTATTTATCATTTCTTTAAAAATCCAAGAGGTCCAGCTCTGTTGTAACAGTGAAATTGGTACTATGTCATTGGGTAGTGTTTCCTTCATTTTAGTCTGGCTTTTTTTCTTAAGATCTCACAAATTCTAAATGCCACATTTCATAAAAACATATTAACGTCTCAAGGAATTTGATTATTTCACAAGATTTATTTTAATATTAGTTTCATTCTTTCTGTGTTATGTTATTATTTGTATATGTCATAGGTAGCCTGGTGCAATAGTTACCCTTTTGCCTATTAGTTGATAAGAGAATTGTGTTTTAAGTCAAAATGGTTGCTTGGAGAAGGTTAAGTCTGTGTTCAGATGGAAACAAATTGAAGAGAGCCTGTAATATCACCTGAAACTGATAATGTAGCCTCAGGACAAAGAAAGGTCATTGCCCTTACATAAGAGAAGGATCTGTTTTTTTCACTATGGATTAATGCAGACATTAATAGTTGGATTTAATACTTCCCAAAATGAAGAGGGGCAGCAACTATAGCTTATTAACAGAATACTACAGTATTTCTTTTCCTGATATTCTGCAATGTCCTTGCCTCACAATTATTCCCACATTCAATGAAAGAGTATAACATCAGCTACATTTCTCCCCCTCTCTTCTGCAATGTCTTTCTTCCTGAAACCTTAATCATCTTCCTGAATGATAAGTTCCTGGAAACTCAAAAGCTTGCAAACACTTTTGTAAATTTTTATTTGGTCTATCTAGATGTTCAAGAGCTTCCCGGTTCAAAGAAAGCTGTAAAATTATTCCTTTGAAATATTCAAACCATATAGGGAAAGACACAACTGAACTTGCCAAGTTGTTGGAAGCTGCACTAGAAGGAATTCACAATGGCTGTTCTCTCAATGGTAAGGAAAACTGATCTAACAGAAGGAATCAAAAGTTGGGTGCAAGAAGAGAAAAGCTGTTTACCTCTTGCAGGCAGCAAATACAAGGACAGCAGCAAATGGAGCATTGGAAAGCCCTTGACAATTGTATGACTGGCTGGTTTCTACTGTCAAAGAGTTTTATGGTAAACGGTCTCAAAGGCCCGTAACAATTCAGAGCGTAGTCATCATTTTCTTCCACCGCAAAGTATATCCACTGCCCCATGGCATTTTTTACTTCATACCTATTACAAGTTTCATAGCCACTTATCACTGGAAAAAAAAGGAACACTGATAAGTTCAAAAGCTGTTTCAAAGTTATGTAAGCTAATAAGTTTCACTGCCGCTCACCACTGAAAAAGAAGCAAAAGCGTGACTCAATTAAGTTTATCAGTATCCAAATGTTTATCAGTAATTTGAATGGAGAAAAAAAAGAGAAACCAGCTTCAGCCTCTAATATGCAATTCCGTGGCACATGGCACAGTATTACCATGTGGATTGTCACCTCCTCCCCAAGCACCTAATGAGTTTACATTCACACATAGCACTAACAGCGTGTTTTTTTTTTTAATGATTTGTAGACAAGCCATAGGGACCCGCTATGCACATATAGTCAATCAAAGATGGCCAATCTTTTGTTGGTCAACAGAAAAACTTCATTATTTGGAAGATGGGAGAAGTGAGGAATAGAGTGAGCAGGCAACAATGCAAAGGGGGCAGGGTCATACTACACATTATCCATTTTTTTCCAGGTTTTGGAGTGCTATTGGGGAAGGGATGTGTGTTTTTATTTATTACATTTATCTCTCACCTTTCCAGAGCAACTCAAGGTGGTGTATCTGATACTCCCTGAGATGACATAGTAAAATAGTTGTATTCTAGAAAAGTAAAAGTATTAAGTGGACACTTAGGTAGTCAGGAGGAAAAGATGAGCAAAACACCTGCAGAAAGGAATGGGAAGGGAGAAGAGAGGTGGTTGATGGCTCCGTGAGGAAACAGAAAAGAAAACATAAGGGTGAAAATCGGTATATATTAAAAAGAGAGAGAGGCCTTTGTGAAGCCTTCCTTCCTTTGTGAAGGAAACCAACATTTTATAAATAAGCAGGAAGTCCTGTATCTCTGTGCAGAAATAACTTACACTTGCAATATGTGTTCATATAATGTTTTTGTTAAATAAAGGTTTCATAGTTTTCAATAACTGGTCTACTGAGTAAGTGAGGGATAGCCTAATATTATGCTACCAGAAAAAAAAAATCAGTAACTCAGTATAAGAACTCTACATTTATTATTTTGGGAGCATGTTTTTAAACTACATTTATTAAGCCATCTCCAATATAACCTTAAAGAAATAATGCCATACAGGACCAAACAAACACAGTTTTGCCATATATTGTTCCCCAATTTTACCCCCAAACAATTTTAAGATGGGTTGGGCTGGCTCAAAGTCACCCTGTGAATTTTGCTGGCTAAGTATACAGTGGTACCTCGGGATACGAACTTAATCCGTTCCGTGACTCTGGGCGTATCCCGAGTTGGTCG